AAATAGAAAGTTCAAAATTGGGCAGTTGAAATCATCTTTCTTTTTGTAAAGTTTTGTTCTCAACCGACCCTCGGCAGACTTTACTGGCTCTGTAACCATTATTTCGAGTTCGATGGGATAGATGCGTTCAACAAAGTCACCAAACTTTGAGAGGACATCAATTATATAGCGGAATGTTAAGTGAAAGGATAAGCACTTTTCTATAGTGACGTGAAATTCTTTTTCTAGTTGATGGGCTCGGGAATTCAATTGTTCGGGCCTTTCGCTTTTTAACTATTCTCTAAGGTGTTTATTATTTACTTTGCCAAGGTTCCAGTTATAAATTATCCAGCACGACTAAATTTGTATGGGGACGATTCATACAAGTAATCAGAAGATTTGGTTAATGTCTCTAACACCATCCTCTTGTGGTTGGACATTTTGAATGCAAAGGTTTGGTGTAGGTATATGAAATGACAGGTGTAATTTTATTTTTGAAGTGATCAAGTATTTTTGTACACAGATTTGTGGTGGAAAATATTGCTAATATTGATTTATCAGCACTCCTATAAACGAATTCTACTAAAACAAGACATTATTTGAGTCAGTTGTCACAAATTTGAATAGACTATAATTGTCAGTGTCTTTAATTATTGCAATCACTATGTAATTAGCAGAATTTTTATCTATAAAACATGATCAGTTCTGATTTAGAGAAAGTTCGACAGGTTCAGAATTTATAGACAGAATGACGATATTTTTGCATTTATTTGTGAAAATTCCTCTCTTTTTCATAAAACATAGCAAAATATGACATAGGTTTTCAAATTAATATCAAATTCTCAAATTTAGATGCTACAATCATTTATAACGGTAACTGGACCTCGTAACAATAGGATTTTTACGTTTAAATTGGTACCAAAGAAGAGGATTCTTCCAAGTCTACGGTGCTTACTATGATTTTTTGCAACCCATTTTCTGTTTAAAGTAATTGCAGAACACTGTTCCTGTAAGAATTACTTGAGAAAAACTGTGAATTTCTGTAATAGCTGGTAATTGAAGAATACATAAACTGAGACAGAGAAAACGATCACCATATTTGTCTAATCTGGTTACTAATATTAACAAAACACAGTTCTAAAAGTAACGCTAATCGAAAAAAATAAATACCTATTAGCTAACACATCTAAAACAATATCAAACGTTAAGCCATCTTGATTTGATCACGACTGCCGTTAAATAAACGGTTAGTTATTCTAATCTCCTATGCGTCCAATAGCTCTTCATTTGTTTCGGTTCTTCGTAACTTCCGGCATAAATTTTAGAATTTGATTTGCCTGCAAATGCTCTATAACTAATTCTGATTGATTAAGCATTCCAACTCGTTTTATCCGAGTGCCACTTATAGGTATTATGGATATTGGTTGATTGTTATTTTTTTGTCTGACGTCAAGTGGCAAATATTTAACGTACGCGAAGGCGAGATTCTGTCGACAATTTATATGATAAATAGGTCCTGCAATATAGGTAGACTGGGGAGAAGGGTGGGATATTTGGTATGCCACCAAAAAATGGATAAATTGGATAGAGACAGACATTTAGCTTTGCAAAAGACCACCTACGAACCCCTCAAAGAGTTGTTGCAAGGGTACGTAACGTGCAGAGAGCATGACATTCACTCTTCACGAGGCATTGAAGTCAATGTCCCCATTTTGATAGGACTTGGTAACCGTTGCAAATTTATACATCCCGAAATGCAAAACGAACGCTCCACTTTCCGAAGGGAGTTACTGCATGTCGGTAAATGCCATGGAATGACCCTATTTTATATCCCAGTGAACCCCCGGGTGAGGTCGTATGACGACGAAACGCGTGTTTGGCAAAGCAAATTGAGTCCGTGTATCTTTAATAAGTTTTAATACATCGCTGGCTTTACGTGTTTATGGCTTTGCATGTTTCTGATGAGGGCAAATCAAGGGAAGAGCTACGGACGCATATAATGTTCAATTTGACGCCATAAGGCAATCGCAGTGAACGTTTCCAGGATATTTCAAATGTTGTTTTTAACATTTTACCAGTATAATTTAACTTGATTACAACCCTAGCTAGTGTATGTTTAAATCTCATAAATCTACTAATAACATGAATAAATCAAGGTAAAAAACAAAAACATCAGAAATAGCAAACTTTCTGTGAATTCTAGGATCAGACGACACTTCTGACATCGATAGATCTCAAAACATGAAATCTAGTAATAACTTATGTACGTTGTAAAATTGTACATTTGTCATAGATCTCAGTTGTCACATATGTCAATTAGTCGTTTGCAATTATACAATGTTTCCGGCTTACAGGCTAACAACTAATAACTGTGGGTTACCATGGAATCACGCGTCACTTGACAATATTTGCAACCTTGTAAAGGCATACAGTCTATCTCTTTTGATTCGAATGCAATAGCTATAATTTCAATTTAATCATTGTCAGGTTTTTACATTGACTAAACACAAATAAGTAAACAAGAGTACATACATTGACTAAACACAAATAAGTAAACAAGAGTACACGACATTACATGTCGAGCAGTGATGTTAAACTTCAAATACACTGCTGAATAACTAAAGTCTACAATTATATGTTTTTAATAATTTCTACTTTAGATTCATCATGGACACAAATTCCAATAAGCTAGAAAATGACGACTATAAAAATATGTACGAAATGAAAAAAAATACGTACTGGGAAAAATACGGGGTTAAACGTTTTCATTACCGTGGAAGGCGCAGATATACACCATTAGTTTACCAATCTGGAGATGGAGGGATGATAATCTCGAATGATGTTTTCGGATTGACAATCAGACAGTTTGAACGAACGTATAAGTCCTGTTTAGATAGACGGAAAACTCACGAACAGTGGATACTAAACCTTAGATATCCTGACAAATCGTCAAATGAATATCTGGAATACTTACAGAATTGTACAGACTGCGGTAAAGGTAGATACTTTGTTATGTTTTAATCAGGATATATTGACAATTGCAAGTGTGTACTAGATTTTGTTGAAGTACAAAAAGTAAGGTTAAAAGCTAAAACATTTATACAAATACCAATTTTCAAATCTAAAACAATTAGACAAATATAGTCAGGAACCTATAATTTAGTGGTTGTTGTTTATTTTTGTAGATGTCTTGTTGTTGTTTGATTATTGTTTTTTACAGGCATTTAGTTATTTCTTTTGAATTGTTCTACATTGTCTTGTCGGGCGTTTATGGTTTACTTTTCGGCATGGGTTTTGTTTATTGTTGGAGGCCATACGATGACCTATAGTTATTAACTCTACGTCATTTAGTCTGTGGTGGATATTTCCATTTTTAATCATTCCACCTTTTCCTAATTTCTGGCTGGACTACACCATAACTAAAAAGAGATATACAAAGAACAAAAATGATTACTTAATACTGCGAAGGAAACTAAAGATTAATTAACATATGATAAATATTTATATGTAAATAATCGACTGAAAGAAGAACAGTAACTAATAGATAATAAACACATTTGTATCGCTAGAATAACTTCAGGATCGGACAAACAAAATTGCACGTTTTTTATAAAGAAATATGTCAACCAAGCAAACAAAACAATCAATAAAATATACAAATGCCAATGAACAGCGATAGTATTTCAGGAAGGTCCATCCAATGCCCTGCGGCCTAATACCTGCATTTTCGACGATTTTTAATACTTGAGATTCCAATTTCGATTTTATGAATGAACTGCCCCGGTTGACATGGGGTCATTCGCGGGAAAACGCATCATAGGATATTGTGACGTAAAGATAATATCTTTGTGATGTCATTTTTTTCCGGGGAAAAGCACTAATTTGAAGATCGGCTATTGCAAAGTGATATTCTAAGACCTCTTTAAATATCAAAAATCAAATATTTCTTGTAAATAATTTTTTATTGTAATTGTATCTATACCAATTCTGACTGTTAGACAAATGTTATTAACAAATTCCCATTGAAAGTATTAGTACATGTATATATAAATATGAAAGCTAACTCAATGCATAGTTGTATGAAGATTGAAAGGTCAAGAAACTCTAGCCAATGCTCTGGAAAATTGTACATGAATTTTCGACAATTTCTAATTGCAAAGTGACACTTTAAGCCCTCCTTATACATCGATGATGAAATGATTCTAGGAAATGAGTCCAATAGTTATTGCATCTATACCTAGTCTAGTTTTTAGGCAAATGTTATTGAAATTGAGAGACCAGGAGGGTATCACAGTCATTTATGCGGTGGAATATTATACTAGAACTTTAGGTCCTTCGTACATATCGAAGTTTAGTGCAAACATATTTTATTGTATAAATATACTTTTTATAACGTATGAAGTCAATAAAAATGAAGGGAAAAGATATATAAATCTATGCAAGTCTATGATTATACACAACAAATGAAACGCACCTTTTGATCATTTAAAGACGAAACCTTTCCTTAAACTCCATTAGATAGCACTAGTATATATATGTTAGCTAACTCTATACATACTTTTATGAAGATCAGAAAAGTTTAGTCAATGCCCTGGACGCTTTGATCAAAATTACACATGTTACTTGAGTGTCCGTTCGTTTTTGTATTCTGACATATAGTTTATCAAAAGTTTACGATTGCATATTATTGAGAAAAAATCTATAAGTTATAAAAAAAATTGTGATTTACATAAGAGTTAAAAAAATTGTGATTTACATAAAGGTTTATATTTGAGACAAATAGAATTGACGATAACAAATGGAGCCATACAATGATTTCCGTTATTAATTTTACTCCTTGTAACCATTAATATAAAATTTCATGTTTTCCAATATTCAAACTTTTATTACTTTAACCAAGAAAATTTGAATATCGACCCGACTGCTAACAACCGGTAAGATACTGAATATCGAATAACGAAAATGGAACCTGTCGCATAACATCACATACATCTATATACATAATTATATTTTTTAGAGCACTTGTTTTTGGATGAAAATGACTTCAAACAAACAGAATTGGTCAGACATCTAATAAAAACAGTTGGAATTGAAATAGACATCAGAAATAGACAACGACTATTCATAATACAGGATATGATCGATGATGTTGTTATCTCCAAATCAAAACAAATATTGAGTGGAAGTTTAGCAGAAGGACTCAATTTACCAAGTAGTGACTTAGATATAATGTTCGTAACTAAAACCATAGACGTTATAGAGAATTTACGGAATATCAAACACACATTACAACGTACTACCTTGGTTATGGAGACAGATACTGTTCATCCTGGATTTGCTCGACTCAGCTTACTACCAAGAAGGCAAGGGGAATCTGACCTCAGTGAAAGTATTAAAAACAATAGATATTTGTCAGTCAAAGAATTTCTTAATGTTCTAAGTAAGCAATATCGTGGATTTAAGTTTGTTCAACACGGCCCCTGTCTATCCGACAAAAATCAGAATTTTGATTTTGCATTCTGCCTACGAAGTAAATATTTACCTTACATTGCAGTTCCATGGTCATGGCGCTATCGACATCAGTGGCCCCCTAATTATGTAATTAACAAAATTAAAAACAACGGATGTTTGTTAGTACCTATAGGACCTAAGAATGTGTCAAATTGTAATTTTTTATGGAGATTATCTTTCTCTGTGGCAGAAAAACATCTTGTACATTCGTTTAATTTCACTCAACTCTTATGTTACGGTCTTCTCAAATTAACACTAAAGCATATCGTTAACACAAACGATCATGCCAAAGATTTGTTGTGTTCATACTTTCTGAAGACGGCTTTATTCTGGGTCTCAGAGGAAGTGGATATAGACACATTTAAATTGTCTAAATTGTTTTTTTGTTTTTCTCTCTGTCTAAATAAATTAATATCATGGGTAAAAAACTGTCACTGTCCGAACTATTTTATACCTGAAAACAACATGTTCCTAGGAAAGATCACTCTAGATAACAATAGAATACTACTACATGTACTGGACAGTTTACAGTTAAGTGGAATTGATGGGTTGATAAATACTTTATTTCCGCGTAGAAATAGGAATGATCGTCTCTTATATTCAAACAGTGAAACATCGTTTATTATGCAAGACTTCCTATTTTACAGAATTTGTGAGTTATGTCATTCGACAGACATTTCACATTGTTATAAAGTACGTACAATTATTGAATGTTTGCTTAAATCTGAATCATCATTAATACCGAAAGAACTACAAAGGGAAGTGGAAGACAGTAATATTAATATATCACCTGTTGTTATGTCTCACTGTCTTAGATTTCTATGCTATCACCATCTTGGGGATGTTTTCAATAGACAACAGGCATTTCATGATTTAATTTCACCAGGGATAAGTAAAAGTTTAAATAAGGGCTTAGACCTGAAGTATTTAAAACTTTTCGATTTATGTCATGATATATCATGTCCGAAAGGCGCAGCCTGTATGTACAGACAGTTATCTAGTAAACTAATACGATAAAAATCTGGTTCATCGTGTAAGACTAGGACAAAACAGGGTTCAAATCATCACCCTCCTCCTCCTCCTCCTCCTCCTCATCATCATCATCGTTGTCGTCGTCGTCATCGTCATCATCATCATCATCGTCGTCGTTGTCATTGTCATCGTCACCAACGTCTTTATAATTATCGTCGTCGTCGTCATCGTCGTCGTCGTCGTCATCGTCGTCGTCATTGTCTTCGTCACCATCACCATTATCATCGTTATGAATATCATGATTATCATGATCATCGTCATCGTCGTTGTTGTCGTCATCACGTGATCATCATCGTTGCCATCATCATCATCATCATCATCATCATCATAATCATCATCATCATCATCATCATCATCATCATCATCGTTGCTATATGATGTGTCTGTATGCTTTACTGTACAAATAACGAAATCAAAACTTGTTGAAATCTAACAAAGCATCAACCACATTTGGTGTGTGTAAAGTAATTCAGTAATGTTGTATTAGCTAAATACTGTACTGAGTATCAATTTAAAGTAACATATTAAAACTTGCTTGATGTAATAAACTAGCAATGTCATACACCCATTTCTGTTCTTTAATTTCATTGCTAAAATTTACTTTAAAATTTTAAGGTTTTCTTAATTAGACAAAACATACTACAAATTTTACATCGATATTGTTGTGATATTCTATTTATAAAAAAAAATAACTTCTTTTTGGCATCTCACATTATAAATTACGAAGTTATAACCCTTCAAGTATTTTATTCTATAATCTATAACTGCTTTAGATTAATTTACTGTGGTCGTAATCCAGATCCAAATTCAGCATAAAAAGCCAACCAACAACTTAGGCAAACATAATAAATGATTTGACATGGATGAAGCAATAGGTATGCATGTATACCCAATACACTTTTTTAAAAGAAAAATCTTAATCATACATTATTTAGGCTTTTTCTATTTCTATTTTTTCCATTGTGTTCTATTTCTATTTTTGTTCCGCCACTTTTTGATGTTGAGATTGTTTTTTGTTTAAAAATAATAACAATTTTCACATTTATCGAGTTACTATGGCAACAAACCATGACAAAATTTGTATATTTTGTAAAAAATTTTTTTTTTTCCTTGTAAAAGTACGTGCGACCATAGAAACAACTTTATATTCGGCGAGATTGTGTGAATAGTTATAATTAATCTTCTCTGATATTATTCTGATGTTTCTTTGCTGCGCACGGTGTTTCCTCCAAGGACATAACGACGGAGAACTGCATAAATTCTGCAATTTTCTGCTATTTCATGAAAACGGTGCATAATATGACGTAAGTGTGAAGTCATAACATCAACAATCTTGCATAATTCTTTTTTATTTCTTGATTTTATGCATTTCCAAACATTATGCGCAAATTTGAAATACATCTTAAAATCTTTGTTTTCTTGGGCCAAAACCGGGCCTTAATGCCATTCCTCAAAATCTATATTTTAACGTTATGATAGATCGTGTAGATAAATCACCGAAATTAAAGTACTTGTCCCACACCAGAACAATTATAAAAATTTTAAATTGTGAACACTTGATTTGAATGGTCGGTTAAATGAAAAAAAAAAGATCCATTGCCTAAATGCAAGAAACATACTTTAATGAAGATACAAAGATAAGTCTTAGAAATGAAAAAGATTTTAGTTTTTACAGTACTAATGGCACTTAATGAAATAATAGAGTGAAAAAGGGGGTGAAGGATAGCTTTCGCTATTAATATATATTAAGATATTGAGGTCATTAATGAATTCAGGGAAATGGGTAAATGTAGAACTAAGGGACAACATGCTTATTTTTTATGATTAAAAAAAAACCCGACTAATTCAATAATTTATCAACAAAATATCTATATATAAAAAAACGAGATAACAACAAATTAGGAGGACATTTCAAAATGGTAAAAAATTCATTTGACACAACATAACCAGATAAAAATATTCCAAATATACTTGCATGTCTGATACTGTTATGGAAAAGGAGATAAATGTGATAGGTAAGTTTCTACAGATGAAGCACCGGTCAAGAAAGTTTGACATTGGCATTGTATAAGATGTTCTGGGGGAAAATGAATAATGATGTTCTTAATAAGGGAAGTAATGAAAAACTTCTTAAATATACCCAACGAACAAGTGTATTAATTTTATTATTTTAAAAGAATGACTCATTATCTTAAGACAATTATCGTTATGGAATGTAATTTGGCATCTTTTGGCACATAAACTAAAAACTTCTTCCTAAACTAAACAACATGTGTAAAAAATCTTTATACTAGATTTATTTTTAGGAAAGCTCAAGATATAACAGGCTATGCAGTATCATACCGAATAGATGGGGTGTGAATAATTGTTGATTTTACAAAAGTGTTTGATTCTTAGGCAAAGGAATTCAAATTAATACAGAATACAGACATATGTTGTAAATAAAGGATGGGTATCCAAGAGTTTTGAAAACTCTAGAGGAATTCATTAAGGATGTCCATTATGTACTTTACTTTTCGTTTTATCAGTTAAAAATACGCGTTTGAATGTATTCTGATTACTATACATAATAAAACACATAGCACCACAATATTTCAGTTGCTGATGTTGCAACTCTTGTAGTTCAAAAACAGACATACCAAATGTTATGAATAAAATCGAAACGTTTGGTTCGTTCTCTGAGATTAAATCGTAGTAAAACAAGGATATTTGGATTTGGGCGCTTAAACTTAGCATATAGATAAAATTGAGAAAATACCCTGGATAAACAAGTCCGTTAAAGATTTAGGTATTAATTTTGGTTATGACAGATTTTTATGTAAACAGTTAAATTGGGAAACCTTAAATTGATAAATTGAAACCCTTAATCAAACATTATGAAAAAGAAAATCAGCTATGATTTGGGAAAATATTAATTATAAGATCTATAATAAATCTTTAATACTACAAAAGATTACCCTTTTTGGCCAAAAAGTAAAACATGTAAAAGTAAAAACCCGAGGATAAATCTAATTCGGTAGGTCACATTCGAGTAAAAGTGGACGACAATTGGAACATATCCGTCGTCATCTGTGAAACAGATATTGCATAAAGGTCAACCAACTCGTGATGACGTCCGTAAAATGTACGAAGGGATGATTTCAACTTCACCACTTGGAACTCTTGACTTATTAGCTTCCTTATGAGCAGCAACTATCCATGTAGGAAATCATGATAGGAAATATAGCCCTAGAATATCGTATCAACTGGGAGATATATACTCCATATGCAGGTGCTGCTGGAAATGTTGCTACAAAGAAATGGACAGCTCAAAATTGGGAAACTGAAATCATCTCTTTTGTCGTAAAGTTTTGTTCTCAACCGATCTTGGTAGAGGGGCCTAAATACAGCACAAACAGCATTTTCCAAAAGACCAAAAAAGTGAAAAAGTATATTTTAACAAAACGCATTTGACTAGCAGGTCAAACAACGGATGTTCTTAAACCCTGCTGACTGCCATGGCGATTGCCAAATAAACGGATCACCAGATGTAACAAAATATCAACGACATATTCTAAAAATAAATAATTAATAAGTCAACCTGGATTTAGAGTAAAAATCCTCCATCCCAAAAGAATGGTAGCAAGTTTTAGTTTTAAGAAAAGAAAATTCCTTATAGAGTTAAATCAATACAAGAAAGAATAAATTGAGATGGGGAAATAAACAAATTAAAGCAAAACATATTTACAATAAAAAAATAATTAAATATTTCAGTAGATCTAAAATATACAAAGCCAGTTGGTATCAATATTTGGACAAGATATCTAAAATAAGAAAACATCCCACATACGTCATTCGTAAAAAAATCATTTATTGTTAAAAGAGAACAAGAGGAAAATTTGAAGATGGAATCTGTTAATTAAAAGTATATATATCCTACAAAGCGGTTACTATTACAACTCAAAATGTCTTTAAATAGTATATGTATGCCTTGTAAATGCAGAGAAAGAAGTCTATTCACCTTTCTTTACTGCATTTTTAAAAAAGATTTGAGAGAAAGTGCAGAAATGTCATAACAAAAATCAATTTAATCGGTCTATTTTTCATTGACCCTTTCTTGGTGCCATAATAGTAGTAAACATACGATTCTATGTATCATTAATCAAGCAATCTTGATCATCCTTTAAATCGAAATAAAATAAAAACTGGTGTATGTAGTATGGTATACTGTGATTTTTTAAGGAACAACCACAGTACCGATGACGTAACTACATGTAACTGATATGTTATATAATGCAAACAAATATGCTATGCAAGAAGGAAAACATTGTTGAAAGCAGTGTAAACAATAATAATAAAAATAACGATATCCTATTTACAAAAAACATTTAGACAATTTTACGATCCTTTGTGTAATCAGGTGTGGTATAACTTTATGAAATTGATAATACATTTACCCCCTGTGTTGTAATACGTTCGCTGTTTAGGATACTTTGTGATATAGCTAAAAAAATAAAGCTGTTTACAATTGGCTGTTTAGATATAAAATTGAGAGAACGGGAAAAATTTCATTATCTTATGTTTATCCATCATGCAATTTCATAAGTCGAACTTTACTAAAGTCAAATCATGATCGACCATAAAAAAATGATGAGATAAAATATAACAAATGAGAGATATAAGGTGTAATAGCTGCACTGGACATTGAGTGAACAAAATCAACCAATCAAATTCTTCGCTTGTACGTCTGTTTAAAGCAGTTTTTCGATTGACACACTTTAAAAAGTCATTATTGTAAAATTCGTAAATCGCTCCTACACTCTTAAGATTTATAATCTGATTCAGGACATGATACCTGCTTGGTGTAGGTGATTTAGACTTTCCTTTATGTCTTTTTTTTTATCCTTATTCCGTCTTTGTATTCTTTCTGTTTTCAATGAAACTTTTCAATAAGTGTTCTATCTTTTTTATGTTTTTAATGAAATAAGAACGAATTTTCTATCGTTTGAATTCAAGTTGAAAAGTCATTCATAATATCCACCATATTGAAGCACAGACATTCCTTTTTTTATGTTGTAAGCGCAATACAGTTCATACGTTTCCGAAACATTGGGTTGTATTTGACAATTTGAAAAGTATTATTGTGGTCCGTTAACGATCAGAACGTTTCTAAAACGTTATTGATACACTTCTAGTGCTTTTCCAAAGGAATCGAAAAATTCGGGCGGTCCTGATGCTGGAAAATAAAAAGCAACCCAGTGACTTCTCTTTCTGTCACAGTTGTCCGAAATGACCACGAACGCTATTGTTCTGTCCATCATGTATGTAAGTAAGTCGTATATACAGACACGGTGACCGATAACCCGCTAAAGACAGCTTCAAGTGCCTTTCCCGACATGGGTAGCTCGATCAATTTGTTGATCCCGCAACCTCTATGTATATTTAGGCCTAGCATGTGACCAAAGACCAGTCCACAGGTCCGACAAGCTTTTTGGTCAGAGTAACCACTATGTGATGTGTCTTCTTCAGATATGTCTGACGCGTCTACCGATATGCCGTTCGCGTCTATCTTACCCTTCCCTTTTCACGAATGTGACTTACCGAATTAGACTATTTACCGGATTTGTAATAACATAAGCAACTCGACGGGTGCCACATGTGGAGCAAGATCTGCTCACCCTTCCGGAGCACCTGAGATCACCCCCAGTTTTTGGTGGGATTCGTGTTGCTTAGTCTTTTGTTTTCTATGTTGTGTCATCTGTACTATTATTTGTCTGTTTGTCTTTTTATTTTTGGCCATGACGTTGTCAGTTTGTTTTCGATCTATGAGTTTGACTGTCCCTCTGGTATCTTTCGTCCCTCTTTTATCGTCCTTAGTTGTGGCAATGGTATTGATTTCTCTGCCTGTTTGAAAGTGTCAATGATTCCTGGGTTCTCGATTTTAGATCAACCAAGAGAAAGCCGAATGTTTTGTTCGTAGCCTCCTCTAAGTTTAGTAATAAGTAGTCCAGTCGAGACGGGTACATTCGTCTTCCGAGAGTCATGATCGGTTGTCGATCTATGGCACAGGTAGTAAGGTCGTCATATCAAGGAACGTTTAGTACAGTGATTTTGTCATAGTTTGGTTAAGTTGGACATGATTGTGTTAAGTGTTTTTTAATGACAAACAATGACACAATATAAATATTCGGATTTTCTGCTAAAGGAACCTCTGAACATAAATTCAAGCTAGTAAGTATCTTTGTTTATGGCTAATATGTTAGTACATTACAAATTTTATCATATAGTTATAATTTGACACAGAACAATGCTTGCGTATATCAAAATTTAAAAGTTGTTGTTCGTTTCTTATGCATAAAGAAAAGTGATTTCTTTACTGTCTGTTACATCACATATTTCGTTATGATATAAACCTGTCGTCAATCCTTTTAGAAAAAAGCTACATTTGCACACAATTTAAGATTACCGAAAATTCGGTGTCATGGTTTGGTTCAGTAGTGTCATGGTTTAGTTCATGCTCGATATGGTTCAGTTATGTGATTCCTGTCATGTCTGATAGAAGTGTAACGATCAGAATAAACAGACATTGTGTGCAACTATCAATATACTGTTAAAAATATTTTGGCTGATCCTTTTTTTCGTGTTTAACCCATTCTATCCTATTTTGAGATAATATAACAAAACAGCAACATAAGGAAATGACGACAATATTATTGTCGTCATTTTCTTATGTTACCGTTTTATTCCCATACGAGTTGATCTGAGTTTTACATATAAACGTTGATCATCTACTCGCAAAAATACATCGCTTGAGAAAATAGGTCGTCTACAGTAAATTTAAGATATTTTCATTATAGCTATCACAATTATAGAACACGCATGTATAAAGAGATCACGAGGGTAATATATCAAATTAAATGTTTTTCAATAGCAATTTTCTTTAAAAGAAGTTTTATTCGGAATACTAAAGGACATGAGAAAGCACATAGTAATATAAAATTAGTAAATGTAGTTTGATTTCCAATGAGACAACTATCCACCCGAGACCAAATGACGTAAATGTTAAGTTGCCGTACGGCCTTTAACAATTTAAAAAAAAAAACAAAACTCATACCTCTTAGCAAGCAATTAAAGGCTCCAACAAAATTGAAGGTAAAACATTTCAAATGAGAAAACCAACGACCTGATTTATGTTCAAAACAATAAGCGAAAAACAGATATGATATACAGTAACAAACGACAGCCACTGCATTACAGACTCTGGACTTAAGACAGGCACATGCAGATTATGGCGTGGTTTACATGTTTGCGGGTTCCAAACCATCCCCTTGCCTTAACCTTGGCAGTAGTGTAATAGCACAACAAATTATAAAAAATAGTTGAAAAGGACTTTACTCATCAGATCGGTACAAAACAAAATAATCAAGTCACAAAAACACCAAAGACACAAAGAACCGATCTACGAGTATTTTCCAAGCCAATAACAACTAATAAAAAAATAATGAATCCAAGACAAAAACATTTTTGTTTTATAATTTCAGAATGGAATTCTGCTGCAAATATTCATTGGGTCAAGAACTTCTTGTACTAAACATAAACACACGTGTATCTTGGAATTTTTCAACTATTTTTTTCGATCACATATAATAATGTATATTTTCTCACACTAAATACCGACAGAGACTTTTCTGATATTATCGGAACTTTATTGCATAAAAGAATAATGCTTAAACGGGTTAAGTGATACTACACAATACACTTATACATAATGACAAAAACATAATCATTTTTATACATTCATAAAAATTATGGACCTATTTCTAATTCAAAATTGTGATCTTTCATATATTTAAATACGACACTTTGAAAGTAATTTCCATATTGATTTCACTTATAGGTTATTAAAGAAATAAATTCAAACTGTTGTCCATGTTAACATTTTGTTCAGTGGAGGATTGAAGACTGTATGGTGCCCTCTCGATATCGTGTGGCTAGTTTTGTAGTCGAGTTACTGTATCATGGGTGTATAATCCCACCTCAACCCCAATCTCCTTTTATTCATTATAGGCAAACTCTGGTTCAAATTAAAACAATAGATGTATAGTTTGCTAGAAAAAAAATGTAAAACAAAGATTATTTTTTTACTAGCTGGTACGTTTTGCAACTCTAAGAAGACGTCTTTAATCATTTGACTAGTGACGCCGGCAGAGACCATCATGGACATATGGAGAAAAAATGTCTAGGTGAATCAGAAGCAATGCTTTCTGTTTTTGTAATTTATTATATCGAATGACAGTTAAAAAGAACAGTGGCTATATAAGTTATATCGTAGGAACACACTTAAAGTAATAAAGAACAGAGTTCAAATGTCCCTTGCGTTGCACATATTTTATCTATCCAAGGTACAAGGGTAATAACTACAAAAAGCACTTTTTTGTTCTTAAAACAATGATTAATATCTTTAGGGAAATGAAGGCATCAGAGCAAATGCAATGTGGTTTCCATTATAGTTTATCTTTCCAAGAGGCATAACCCATTAACAATATTTGATTAAAATTTCTTTTCGAAAGTGATAAAGACATTGCTGATATAAACCTACGATGAAGATAAAAAAAACTGGCAAGAATTGTACAAATGAGAGCGCCAACAATGCAATTTTCAATAAAATTAATGTTTCCAAGGAATATACATTTGTAACTCTTTTAAGACTCGGTTAAGACATTGCTGATAACCTATGATATAAGTTTCATAAAAATTTGGCAAGAATTGTACACGTGAGACCGGACGGACGAACGCACATACGGACGGATGGACGGAAGCCTGTTATTTCCATGTCCCCCGCAACGCGTTACACGGGGGACAAAAATATATAAATGTACGGTTTGGCGTTTACGCCCACCAAATTTGGTCAACCAGGCTTTTTTCTCCTTAGTCAATTGATTAATTGTGTAACTTCGTTTTTTTTCACAAGCGCCTTCAAACAAACTATCAATATTAGGTGAAACAAATATGTATTAATTTTGATCTAAACCATGACATATTTGATTAAAACCATGACGAATTTCTAGACTCTTAACTAAACCATGTCAATCGCTGAACCAAACCATACCAATTTCGATTTTTGGACATCCTGCGCTAATTTCTTAAAAACAACAATTTCAATTTAGATCGTTTGACTTACAATATAGATTCAAACATGTAATTTGCTTTTTATTTGCTCATTTGAACAGAACTGAGGCAATCGTATTGAAGTAACCTAACTAATCCA